ATCTTGATAAAATATGCATTGCTAATAATGAAAGCCCCTTTGGGGCCCAGGAGAAAAGGGAGACTCAAATGTATGTCAAAAACTGAATGTGAATGGGAGGAAAGATCACAGGCACGCACACACACACCTTTTAAAGGTAAACATAAAAGCAACATTTGGCTAAATTTATCCCTTTGTCAGTGAAAAATAGCATAAGCCCTACCTAGCAAAGCATGTTATCAATTCTTAAACCAAAGGGTAAAAAAGAAACACTTACCATAGAGCAGAACTATCAAACAGAACTCTCAGCAATGATGAAAATACTATGTGTGCTAACCAATTCAGTAGCCACTAACTACATGTGACTCTGGGTTGAAATGTGGCGAGTGAGACTGATTTTTAAATTTTCTTTTATGTTAATTCATTACATTTAAATGTAAATGTAAATAGCCACATGTAACTAGTGGCTACTAGCTTGGCTCCAGACACTCAAACCCAATAGCTGGCAATGTCTTTCTGTCCCTTCAATAAAATTGTAATCCTAATCAACTGATACTATTTTAAATTATCATCAAAATTAGTATAAGACCCTGGCTGTGTCAGTAAGCTTAAGACAAAATGAAAACAAACTAACTAACAAACTAAAAAATCTAAAGAAAATGATTCCAGTGGATCATTTCCTGGAACTTTGCTCTGATTATCTAGTTTACATTTCTATTTATACCATGGCTTTGTGTATTTGGAAATCCATGATGTAGACAGATTTTGCCTTCAAAACACCAGAATGTCACAGTCTCTTCCCTTAAGGTCTTAGAAAAATACAAACATGAACTTAGGGAAAGTTAATCTCACAAGCTTCAGTTTCCTCAAGGCTGAAGTGAAGACAGCATCAGTACTCGCCTTTCATAAGAATTAAATTCAGATAACGTGTACAAAGTGATTCGGCCTCTCAATGAGAAACATGGCCTGTCAACACCCCTCTTACTGTCCTGGCTGAGAAAATGGGCCTGTGCCCCTCAGGTCCTCTAATACCTTAGTTCCTCTCTGTGGTGCCAACAGCCAAACCTTGCCTTGACTGGCCCAGGAAGCGGGAAGTGAACCTATCTGCCTGGGTGGGACTCCAGGATGAATTTTTGGCATCTCATCAAGGTGTCTCAGAGCTGATCAGCAGGTGGCAGCTATAATTCTTAGTATTTTATTAACAATATTAAAATCTGTGATAAAGAGAACAGTGTTAATACAATGAAAGTTTACAATGAGCAGAATTTTCCTAGGCCCAAACCCTTTGAATGTGTTTTCCAAGCCATTCATTGTAAAGTGCCCTCTAGTAAAAATACATCTTGGAGCACTGACATCTTGACACCCACTGCCAACCTCCAGAGAGTCAACCACCCAGAAGGGTATTACGAGTCACAAAATCACTCAGTCAATGTTTACTGTGCCCCTACCCTGTGTCAGGCACCGTATTAGGCTTTTAAAGAGGGAAACAGTCCCTAAACACAGGATAACGTCTTAAGACCCTGAGCTGCCTGCCAGCTGACCCCTGCAAAGCTTGGTCAGCCCTGGGACACCTTGATGAGATGCCAAAAATTCATCCTGGAGTCCCACCCAGGCAGACAGGTTCACTTCCCGCTTCCTGGGCCAGTCAAGGCAAGGTTTAGCTGTTGGCACCACAGAGAGGAACTAAGGTATTAGAGGACCTGAGGGGCACAGGTCCATTTTCTCAGCCAGACAGTAAGAGGGGTGTTGACAGGCCATGTTTCTCATTGAGAGGCCGAATCACTTTCACAAGAGAGTCATTCTCTGAGTCTTCACAAAGCCAAATCTGACCTGCCCCACAAAACAAACACAACCCCTTTCAATAGCTGGCCGTCCAAGCCAGTGAAGTCCAAGGGGAATCTCCACCAAGTTAATATCAACCATACCAGCAGACCAGAAATCCCCTGGGAGTTTCCAGGCAGAAGCTTAGTCAAATTCTGTGGGGCTTGGGGTTATTTTTCTTTTTATAGAAAGCACTCAATCAATCTTCCTTCACAACCAAGGGTACATTCCCCCATGGAATTCCCTTCTCTGAAGATATCTAAAAATAAAATATTCATCTGATCGCCTGCAATAATTTCAGTTTAAACCCATTTACAGGCAGAGTCAGGGACTTCCTATGGCCCATCCACCTATGAAAACAGCATGTTCCCCACTGCCTCAGGTTTCCTCTGGCCCCAGAAGAACACTAGTCAAAGCATGTTCTTGACGAAGATAGGAGACAGGATCGTAGTATCTAAAACCTCATACTTGGTATTCTTCGCTGGTGAGAGTGTAAAATGGCATAACCATGTTGAGAAAAGGTCTGGCAGTTTCTTATCAGGTTTCCATATACCTCCTCTATGACCTAGCAATTCATTACTAGGTGTTTACCCACAAGAAATGAGAACACATGTCCCTAGGCAGACTTTACACAAATGTTTACAGCAGCTTTATTCACAATAAGCAAAGAAAGAAAGAAAGAACCACGAATAATCCCTGTGTCCGTTCACAGAATATACAAACTGTGGAGTAGACATACTCCGGAACATAAGTCAGCAATAAAAAAAGATCAAATCACGGATACGACACAAGTAAATCTAAAAACACAGCAAGCTTTACACAATATTGTAGAATTCCATTTCTATGAAGCTCAAGAACAAGCCAGACTCACCTATGATGAGATACAGGGCAGTGGCTGCCACTGAGAGGGTGAGGGCAGAGAATGAGAATAGGATGAAGGCACTTGCTGGGGTGACAATAACATTCTCTGTCTTGAGAGGGACTAGGGTTACACAGGTGCATGCATCTGTCAAAACATTATGCAAATGGTACTCTCCAGATTTGCACATTTCACTATACGTATACAAATTTTACCTTAAGGAAGCCATAAATACATTTTGAAGTCTAAATATAAAATGTGTACTGAAATGTTTAGGAATGACCTGCACCAACATCTGTAATTTACTTTAAAATCATAAAATAATCAGCCGGATGTTTTACGAATGGATACCGGGATGGATAAATGGGGGAGGTGTGTAGTTCCAAATATGGCAAAATGTGAATTCGATTCTAGGCGTATATATTCAGGTGGTCACCGTTCTTGCAACTTTTCCATGTCTTAAAGAATGGGATGGGGATAGAGCCACAGTATCCACACCTTAGTCCACCAAGTTAGATATTTGGCAAAGCACCCATGCCCCACCAAACCACGGGACAACATAGTTCCAACTCGCCTGAAAAGTGAAGGCTGGAAGAACACAAGCAGCTTTATGGGAACTCACATCACTCATGCCAAAGATTTTTCTGCTTGTTTCCCTACAGACAAAGCAATCATTTGAATGTAAGCCAAAAATTCCTGCTCAAGAGGAAGAAAAAGAACTCACTGACTTGTATTCCCAATTTATTATCTTTCAATTCCTGTACCAAATCTACTAGCTAACTGCATAGCACACCACTTCCATTTGCCCCATGCCCATACAGCCAAAAAGCAAACAAAGAAAAACCAACCTAGTGACTTGATACACAAATGCAGCCAGAGGATGACGTCCCAGGGGCTTTGAATTTCTCCGGAGGGCCAGAAACCCCACTGAAGGCAAAAGGGGATGCAGAGGTCCGTCTGAGGTTAAAGTGATTTCACTGAGGTTAGAGCACACGCACCAAAGAGCCCCAAACAGCCTGCTTCGTTACCCCTCTGTGGGGTTTGGTGGCATCTGGGGTCACTTGAACTTCGTTGGAATTCAGCTGTTCAGAAGTACAAATTAGGAATCCCGGCAGTGGGGGAGAAGGGGGGAACACAGTGGCCCTACCCACAGGCCCATAGGTCGCTCACATTACAGCCAGCTTCCTTCCTGGCAAGGCCTTACTTATCCTGAGATGACACACGATGGCAGGGCTTGGAAGATGCCTAGTCTGAGCGCCCAGCCCCTGAAACAGCTGTACCGACTACAAGGGAGCTGTTGCTGGAAACTGGGGTGGCCACTGAGAGACTGCGCCAGACTTTTTTTTTAAAAATACTTTTTTGTTTTTAAGCCCCTAAAGAAACTCACTGACACCACCCAGCGTCCCGAGGGATCATACACAACCACACAGGGCAGCTAAGGGCAAGCACAGAGGCATCGAGAGACAGCAGGGAGCGCACTTGGGTCTACAACCTTGGCCTCCAGGAGGTTCTTGCTGCCAAAGGCAGCGACACCCGAGGTGAAGGGCACCAGCCCCGGCCTAGGATCCGGGTGCACGTGCCTGACAACGGGGCTTCCTGAAGTACAAAAGCACCTCCTCCTTGTTCGCACCCACAGTCATGCTGGCGTCCCTTGAGTCTAGAGAAGTGGGTTAAGACAAGGAGGAAAAAAAATCCCTTACAGAAGGAGAGCTCCCCGTTTTCAGTACTGAGGACTCTCCGTGCCCTGCATCCTTGTGCCTCTGGTGGCTCGGGCGCTTTCTCCGAGCGCGCGGCTAGTCTGCTCCTACCCGTCCAGCACTTCTGTTCCCAAAGCAAACCCACCCCAGGGCACACGCCGAGGGGCAGCCAGGCACCACCTCCACCCTGCCCCACCCCAGCTGCGCACATCCCTGAAACCTGGACTCTGAGACGAGCTCCCACCTGTTCTTTTCCGAGGACCCCTGAGGCAGCGTGTCTTAGACCCACCTGTAGCCTCCAAGCTCCCCCACCTCCGTGTCCTTCCTAAGCTCTTCTGAGCCAGCAGAGCCCACAACCCCCCACAGGCTGCTCCGGAGTGCCTCTCCCTACATCACTCCAGGAATGACTCCCCCACACCCTACAAAAAAAAGTTGGCCCAAGATCCAGGCGTCCCTCCGATCAGCCCAGGTCTCCATCGACCCGGGCCAGGGAGCTCCTCTGGCAGCCCCGGAGCCCCGGCACAGAGCAACCTTCAGGGAGGCGCCACGCGTGGTTCCCGCTACCCGCCAGGAACCCCGTCCACTGGGCAAACGGAGGGGCCTGCGCCGGTCGACATCCCAGGCCCTGTCGCGCCCCCACCTACCGTATGGGACCGGAGGAGGAGAAGGCGCGGGCGCGGGCTCCCAGAGACAGCGTGATCCGTCCCGGGAGGAAAGTTTGTGCCATACAGAGGAGGCAGCAGGGGGAGGACGTGGGCGCCAGTGGGTGGAGGGCGGTGGCGCCGCGTGCTCGTGTGTCTGTCCCTCTAGCGATCGGTGCGTCTGTCCCTCCCCAGAGACCGCGGCCGCAGCGCTGTCGCTCTCTGCACCCTGCGCCCAGCGCGCTCCGGCTCCAGCCCCGACGCGCCCCCGCCGCTGCCGCCGCGCGTCCGCCGGCTACACTTCCTCTTCCTCTGAACTCATGTGCAAAATATGCTGCGCTGCATCTTCAGGGAAAGCCGCGCGGCCCCTGACAGCAGCCGCTGGAGCGGTGGACCCGCCCAGCTCTCCCTGCGCCCACTCGGAGTTCCGCGGTCACCTCCACGTGGCCGAGCTGCCAGCGACCCTGGCAGCCGCAGGACCCAGGGGTCAGAGGCTCAGGGATCCTCCCTCCCAGCCCCTCCCAGACAAGGTTGTGTGCTGGCAGAAGAGAGCATGGGAGACTAGGGTCCCTCAAGATTTGAGCCGGGATGCTGGAAGGGCGACTGCCATCAAGGTGCTGATGGCTGGGGGGGGGGTGGGGCAGACTTGGGAGAGGACCATTTCTCCACCCCATTCTACAGGTGGGAGCATCCCCAGACATCTCAGGTGCTACCAGAATCACTCCTTGGGAGTTAGTGCTTCAGGAAAGGGTAATGCCACTGTCTCCCTTGCCACCTCCTAGGCTAAGTACTTAAGATGTCCAGAGGTTTGAGAAGATGTGGAGAATCATCTTGTGTGACAACTTGAGGCAGCTAAGGAGAAAATTATACAAGGAATGAAGCACCAGTAAACCAGCCTGCATTAGTAAAGTGAAGATGTGTGGAAGGAGCTGTTAGAAAAGATTTTCTTCCTAAAACTAAACCAAGTACTGGCACATAGTAGGTGCTCAGGGTTTAAGAGGGGAATCACTTACCCAAAGTCACACAGCCAGTAAGTACTGAAGCCGGGGTTGGATTTCTGGCTTCAGTACTTACGGGCTGTGTGACTTTGGGTAAGTGACTTAACTGCTCTGGGCCTATTTGTCACATAGCACTTCTTCATGGGTTATTATATTTAAAGTGTTTAGGAAGCACTCTATAACTTAACTGCTATTATTATTATTATTATTAGCTTTTGAGATGGAGTCTTGCTCTGTCGCCCAGGCTGGAGTGCAGTGGTGCAGTCTCAGCTCACTGCAACCTTCGTTTTACTGGGTTCAAGTGATTCTCCTGCCTCAGCCTCCCAAGTAGCTGGGACTACCACGCCCAGCTAATTTTTTTTTTTTTTTTTTTTTGTATTTTTAGTAGAGATGGGGTTTTACCACGTTAGCCAGGATGGTCTTAATCTCCTGACCTTGTGGTCCGCCCACCTCAGCCTCCCAAAGTGCTGGGATTACAGATGTGAGCCACCACACTCAGTCGCTACTATCATTATTATAAGGGGGCTGGAACAAGAAGGGTGAGATAATCTAATTAATTATCTCCATTTTCTAATTGGGCAAAGAAGGCCCTGTGTGAGCAAAGTTAAGCACTGGAGCGCACAGGGTGGAGGGCGGATTTAGGGGCCCAGTGATGTTTTGATGAGGTCCTTCAGGTACTAATAACACCCCTCCAGTGGGTAAGGAAGGACTGTTTTGTTTCCAGGGACTAGTGTTACCATAGCTTCTCAGAGATTTTCTTCCTTGTTTTCTTGTCATAGCCTCTCTGGTTCTGCTTTGCTCCACCTTCCCCCACCCCCCACTGTTTTGTTTTTATTTTTTTCTCCTTTTCATTTCCATCCACCATTTCCTGGGGTCATTCACCACCACTATCCCCAATGTCCTCCATTTCCCCCTACACTTGAGCTTGACACATGGAAGAAAATAAGACCAGGTGATCACCCAAGTCCAGGTGCAAACGTCATGTGTGGGCACGTGTGTTCACGGGCATCACCGGTAGTTGTAAACACCCATTGATGAAGCCAAAGGGAGGGCTCTTCAGGTTCTCTATCTGCCTGAGGCCTTGAATTGCTGCATGTCAGGGTCCATCTGAAATCTTTCTGATCCTTTGCTGGTCCCTAGACCAGAGAAAGAATATAACCTTGATAGGTGTTAACATTGGTAGGTAGGCCTTTAAAAGAAGATCAAGAAAAAAAGAGGGTGGTGATGCAGGGAATGCTGGGTAACCTCATTGTGCTTAGGGGAGGTGGGTGATTTCTTTTAAGCAAATCATTTTCATTCTATAAAACTTTTGCACAGCGTTGTGTTTTTTGTGCTTTTATTCTTTTTTTATTGCATTTTAGGTTTTGGGGTACATGTGAAGAACATGCAAGATAGTTGCATAGGTACACACGTGACAGTGTGATTTGCTGCCTTCCTCCCCTTCACCTTTATCTGGCATTTCTCCCCATGCTATCTCTCCCCAACTCCCCACCCCCTGCTGTCCCTCCCCTATTCCCCCCAACAGACCCCAGTGTGTAGTGCTCCCCTCTCTGTGTCCATGTGTTCTCATTGTTCAACACCCGCCTATGAGTGAGAACATATGGTATAAAGATACCAGTCTTTGAGGTTATTGTGCTATTCTGATTGTTTCCATTTTCTTCCAGTCAGTATTTTCCTGAGTATTAATGGTGGGAAAAAGTCTTAAATGACTTTTTTCCCTGTTTGAATCTGCATTTTTTTAGGGTTTTCTAGAACTCTTGATCTTTTTGATATTCTGGTGCTTACTGGCACATAGTAGGTGTTCAGTACATATGTGTGGAATGAATGGATGAGCCAATAGCATGCAGATCTTTTAAGGCTCTTTTTAACCTGCATCCAGCAATTATCCAGAGTGTTCGAATTCTCTTTCACCTGGAATATTTAATGAGGAGCCAAATGTTGGATTCACTTGTGTCCTGTAGAGAGCTGCCTGGATTTTCCACTTGGCTGCCATGGATTGGCCAGTCATGAGAGAGACCCTGGGCAGCTGGGTCTCACCTCTAACTGACCTTGCCTACCCAGCCTCAACCCCAAAGATGCTGGGACTGTATCCTAGTGGGTTACCTTGGCAACCTCACAATGTCATCTGTTAGAATGTCCTAGGGCGGCAGCTTTTAATTCTATCACAGCGGTCTCATCGGGGGTCATGTAATAGTGCCGTTTTTCCTCTGCTCACACTTCCTCCCCCTGTGATTTAACACTAAGTACTCGGGGAGGGAGCTGAACACGGGGAAAACTAAGCTATTACTGCATGACAGGTCACAGATGGCCCCAGAACTGGGGTCCCGAGTGTTCACAGTCAATAAGACGTAGGTCCCAAGCTAATGGGGAAGCTGGATCTCCTCACACCTCCTGTGGAAGGAAGAGGAGTTAAGCCAGCCTAGGCAAGTGTAAGAAGCTGCCGTGGCCAGACTGCACAATTCTTGTAAAAGCTCAGTTAAAGGAGCCCCCCGCTGGAATAATTCTTTCTTGGCCTCAGCAGCACCACCCCACTCTGGAGATGATTAAGGCATGGGTACCGCAGCTGGAGCAATTTCACTGCATCCTAACTACGCTGAGGCTTGGAGGGAAGGGGAATCCCAGTTAACCTATTCTGTCAGCTTCATCCCTCCCAACCCCATCCCACAATTTCACCTTACTTAGGTCCACCCTGCTTCTAACTTAGCCCAAAATAACTCAATTCCCCGTCTCTGCAGAGAGTAATCACAATTTATAGCAGAAATGGATCGAACAAAAGCTTTGGAACCTGAAGAGTTATTGTCCTAATTGTTGATTTACAGGACCAGGAAACCCAGACCTCAGTTAGCCAGCTGAACAGGCAAGTTTTAGGGCTGGCGGAAGAGAGAACTAGACTCATCTATGCCCCGGAGGTGCAAGAATTATTCATTTTTATCATCACAGTTAATATTTTAAGTGACTTTGCAGCCACAGGGAGCTCACAGTTTGGTCAGCTGCTCTGTACTAAACGTTTATAGGAAGCTGGCCCTGTGTTGGGTGACAATGGTGCCTGTAAGGAGCCATGGTGGCAGAGGCCTGAGCTCTGTGCCCCAAGCCAGTGGTGCTGGAGGAGCCCCTGCCCTTTGTTCATGGTGACAGGCACAGCCTGCACAGGCACGCCCCTGGGAAGACCATGGCACCCTTGGCCACATTAAAGCAGAGCATGCTTGTGCCAGTGTCAAAACATGCTTTTGACTCCCTAGTACAGTGGAGATGTGAATTAGGGTGGGGGCAGGGAGCTGTTTGGAGGATTTTTTTGCATATGCATTGATCAGCCAAGGCCAGGGACCAGGGACTTTTGTCCAAAGTATAGTCAAAACAATACTTTGAAAATGCCACCCACAGACATCACCAATTTGAGCAAATGTTGGATGATAGCCAAATGTTCCATTCTCTCTCATACAAAAAAAGAAAAAAAAACCCACCCACATTTATTGTTATTCTGCTCCTGAATCTACTCATTTTATCTCTGAATTTGCAGTCTGAGTCAAGCAGTTCAAGGGAGCAGGGGCCCTCCTGTGGCTGAGATGGAATTTGTTCTCTGGAGCAAAGAGCCATTGGAGACTGAATTTCAGGAATATTGTGTGCAGTACATTGCTACTTATAGCTTTGTTTCCCTCACTCAGCCTGAGGAATTGTCTGACTTTACCAAAAGCCATCCACATCCACACCCCTTCACTGGTTATTCCATTCACAGGACGCATTTGCTGACTTGCATTTGAGAACGTTATTACCAGAGAAGTGTGTGTGTGTGTGTGTGTGTGTGTGTGTGTGTGTGTGTGTGTAAGAAGCCTATACATTCCACAGATGTCAAAATAAAGAGATCATAAAAATAAATCATCCTTTAGGTATATACCCAGTAGTGGGATTGCTGGGTCAAATTGCATTAGGAGGAATACCTAATGTAGATGATGGGTGGATGGGAGCAGCAAACCACCATGGCACATGTAAACCTATGTAACAAACTTGCAGGTTCTGCACATGTATCCCGGAACTTAAAATATAATAAAAAGTAAATAAATCATTATTAAGTGAATGGAAGGATAATGTTTTTATATATTAATTAATCTAATTTCCCTTCCACCATCATTCCCCCACCCCCACTGTATTTCTTGCTACACTGTACCAACCCTCTTCCCACCAGTCTGGACAGCTGGAAGAGCTGTCAAAAGGAGAGTTATCATAAAAACACCAGAAAAAGTCAAACTCTTGGCTTTTGAGTTTCAGAAGTCAATGTCAAGGCATAAAGTGAAAATACATGAAAAAATAGGAAATCAGGCAGAACCAGTATCCTCCAGCGTATTTCCTTTCCTTTTGCTACCCACCCACTGTCCTTCAAAGAATGAATAACAGCTTCACGACTGGAGAAGAGCAAGGAAGGAAAGGCACATGGGATATGCTGATGGCAGCGATGCTGGTAGGACACAGGGACTGACCAGAGTCAGAATTCAGAAACCCAACACCCTCCACTCCAGTGAAAATCATCCATCCATAACATCCGGGAAC